TTAGGTACCCCCAAAAGTATGTAAACGTGTAATCATTTGGTATCGGGGATCATATTCCACTCCCAAAAACAGTGAACAAAAGAGTATATCAACCCTAAACCCTAAACGCTGAAACCCTATAGACCCTAAGCCAAAGTCCATTATGTACAGGGGCTTCATGAAATAATTACAAATACTACTATTTTGAGGCTTTTCAATATAACTATAGAAAAAACAAGCTTTTAAAAACCCTATTCTAACTATTAAGGCCCCGTACTGTCGATGGACAAAATCCTGCGTGACCCTAAGGACCCTAAACTATGGGAATTATGGTATATTCCTTATAATGGGTAATCCAGGATTTTGCCCATCAACAGTACGTTACCCATGCAGCTACCAAGAGACGGATGCTTCGATCACTCGGCTTCTGGTCAGCGCGATTTGGATGATGCCCTGCGCGGCCGGGTAGACGCCGCCGGCGATGCAGAAAGTCAGGAACCTTACTTTTCAATTTTTGGGTGAAAAAGGTTCAAACTTTGCTAGAAAACTAGGAACCTTTTCAAATTTGGGGGCATAAAGGTTCAAACTTTGCTAGAAAAATTAGGAGCCTTACCTTTCAAACGTTGGGGAAAAGGGTTCAAACTTTGCTAGATACTTAGGAACCTTACTTTAAATTTTCAATTTTGGTGGAAGAAGGGTTCAAACTTTGCTAGAAACTTAGGAACCTTACTCTTCAAGTATGAGGGAGACGGGTTCAAACTTTGCTAGAGGGTAGGAACCCTACTTTCGAAATATGGCGGAAAAAGGCTCAAATTTGCTAGAAGACTACCTTATAAGAGCCCCAAATGTTGAAAAGTTGGGTTTTGGGCGACCAAGGAACAAGGCCGGCCAAAAGAAGGTGCTTGAGACATAGGGGAGGATGGATGCGAGGATTGCGGCCATGCTGGAGACAGACGCAAGGAAGATAAGAGTCCTCCGGTGCTGACTCCACTTGTCCGGCTGCACCACGCTCCCTGACATGGCAATGCTGCCGCCAAGTGCTGGGCCGATCAACGCAATGAGCGAGAAGGTGCAAAGGACCTAGCTCATGCTTGGGGTAGTATGGAAAAATACGTTTGTATTCCTTACTGGGTTTAAGTACCCATAAACATGTAAAATGTTACCCAGCCATGACAAAGGGACGAGGTGTAGGCCAAAGCCGCGGGAGGTAGCATAGTCTCGAATTACGTACCGGCACCCACCGAGAAAACCAAGTTGTGCTGCCAGGGACACATTGGTCGCCCAGTAGACACCCCACCGCTCGGTGCTTGGGTACTCCTCAGCTTTCTAGTTCATAGATGAAAACACAGGTTCATGTGTAAAGGTTGTGTTACAACTTAATTACCCTAAAGACAGGAGTTGAGCTGCTTGCTACTAAGGCTCCACTTCACCTGTCGGCTTCTCAAGATCCTCCTCACTGTCCGTGCGATCGTCCGAAAGCTCCAAGTACTGACGTCCACCGTAGGCCAAGCACATCAGGGCGGTGACCCCGAAAACGGCGGCTTGGCCAACAAAAGCCCACCTGGGTTTAGGTTTTAAGGGTGTAGGGGTTAGGGTTCAGAGTTTGAGGGCCCTCCCAGAAGTCTTCACACAGACACCCCTGTAGAACAATATAAAGCAAACTAGAAGAGTTTGCAAAAGTGCCACCAAGGCACTTCCAGTGAAAACCGGCATTTACCAACTCCTGGGCAACAATGAAGCCCACGTTCTCACCAAGAGGCACCATCGCATGCAAGGTCGTGTTCATGAAGTTCCAATTGTTGCACCCATGCTTGGAGAGCCATTTCTGCAAGTAGGGAAGAAACGGCGCCTCGAAAAAGCCCACGAGGAAGCGGACTGCGTAGATTTGGTGTATTGTGATGCCAGGCACGGTCATGAGCAACATTGCGATGACATCAAGGATGGTACACACGATGACGACATTGAACTCACCAAACGTCCTGCAGGCCCATGGTGTAAGAGGGAGGCCCAAGCAAACGCCCACCATCACCCACGATCCGAGTGCCAAGTTCATGGCCTTCGAGTTCCCCGGGAGCGAAACAGCCACACCGATGTTGGAGCCGTGGCCAAACTGGCATGAAAAGAAGTTGAGACAAATGAGAACGAAGAGGATCCACGAGTCTCTGGCCTTTGTCTTCTTGGCTTTTTCCGTTTCCTCCCTGCAAGTTAGCCGTTCTACTTGCGCCACTTGCACCATTGCGGCACGCGCGAAAGGAGCACTGCTTGGCGGTGCTATTGCAAGGAGCAAGGAACAACCAATTGTTTGGGGGCACAAGTTCACGCTTAAGTCCGTGCCTTTGCTGCTGCAGATGTCTTCATGCCGACGCGACCCTTGAACTGCGAGCCTGTCAGCTAATGGAGGCAAAACGATCCAGACTTCTGGATGGCGTGCTGCCTCTGGTGCATGTGCTCTTTAACAGGCGCTGATACCCTCTGCTACACAGCCGGGTGTTGACAAAAGGAAACACCGCCTCAAGGAGGAAGCGGCAAACTCCCATGTGATACCTTGTTGTAGGGTTTGGGCATACGGATGTAGGCTTAGAGTTTAGAGTTTAGGGCTTATGGATGTAGGCCGAGGCGCTCAAGGTACGGCTTGGATGGCTTGGAGAGCTGATGAGAAGGTATGTATATATATATATATATATGTATATATGTATAGGCTTCTGGGTCCGATGAAGATGCTAACGGGAGCTGCAAAACTGCCTTCGAACTGGATGCAAGGCAGTAGACGCCTCTGCCCAAATGCAAGTTGACAAATTTAATTGAGGCGCGTGGATGGAACCTACACAGTACTTGGAGGCCCAGGGGACTTAGTAAGTAGGTTATAAGTAGGGTTATAATTGGGGTAACTCCGTTTAGGGTACTTATAACCCTACTTATAACCTACTTACTAAGTCCCCTGGGCCTCCAAGTACAAAGCAAGCATCGGAAGGATGGGTGGGGGGCAAAGAGGATTGGAGCTCGTGGCTCAAAGCGTGGCTTCAAACGACAAGACATCGGAGTCGCAGCAAAGCCTTCTTCAGAATCCCAGGTCCAAACCGCTTTGGCTTTGAAGTGTGGCGTGCCGGAAATTGCCACTGTCTGTTGTGCGCTATCCCTTCTATCAATCCCATGCAAACCCTAAACCTTAACCCTTAAACTTCACGCCCTTAACCTCAAAACATATAAGCCCTGAACCGCCTTATAACACTAAATCGATGCCCTGGACCCTAAACACCTAAACCCTGAACCCTAATTGCCGTGGACCCTGAGCTAAGTGCTTATAACCTCTAAATCCCGAAATAACCCGAAACCCTACACCCCTAACTCTGAACCCAAGGCAGGGTGCATGGCCAGCGATCCTCCGCCGCTGAGGCACAGGGCCGTGCGGCCAATGGCTTTTTGCCGGTCGACGAGCCAATCTGCAAGCCTCATAAAGGGCTTAGGGTCCGTCTATAAGGGATCAGTGGAACTTAGCGCTTATTCAGGGGGTTTAGGGGTTCAGGCTTTAGGGCTTTGGGATTTAAGGGTTGAGGGGTTTAGGGAGTTTTTGGGTTTCGGGCTTACAGGGGTTTAAGGCTTAAGAGTTTAGGGGTTTAGGGTTTTATATGGAATGAATGATAGGAGTTCTAACAATCTAAGCCCAACTAACCAGACCAATCATACCAAGAATGACAGTCGCCGGCGTGACCATAATCGGAAACACTAACAGTTATCATAAATAGAAGCGGAAAACGATTGCAAGCAAGTTCATAGTATTCAAAAGAGCAACAAGATAAAACAAAGGCAGCAGTAGTCGTAGTTATAGTAGCAGCTTTACCGAGGAAACATGTTTCAGGCCAAGATGCATAGACCAAGCAGCAGTGTCTCACAAACTCCATTGTGATGGTTCGCGAATAGAAATGAAAATACTGTACGAACGTGAGCACCACCCTAACCCCAAACCTTACACTTTAAACCCTATACACCTTAGACTCTATAAACCCCTTTTTAACCTTAAACCGTTAAGCTACCAACTTCTATGAACGCCAAACCCTAGACGGTAAAACCCTGTTGAACCCTAAACGCAAGACCTAAGCCCTGTACAGCCTCACCCCGCACCTGCCTCAGCTCTGATGCCCCAAAGGCTTCACCAGCTGCCATCCGCTTGTCGCACATCGCCTCTCAGACTTTAAGTTCTGGCTTGTGGTTTAGGCTTGCTTAGGGTTTAGGGTGTAGACTTTCGACCGAACTACCATACGGGACAGTAAAATCGGTACTACCGCTCCTTCAATTTGCTTACGGAAGCTGTAATATGATATACCCTAAAAACCCCGACTCAATTAGAAAGGCCCCCGTAAGGGCCCTCCTATTACACCCTTGCCCTACACCCCAAGTCCTCGCTGCTAACCGAGAGGTCTAAACCTTTGAGCGCGAGACCAGGGTCCCGCGAATTTCGCAGCTTCAGGGTTTAGGGTTCAAGGGGCATCACCAGGCAAAGATAGTCTAGGTGAAACACCAGACCTGAAACCCTGAACCCATCATGTGTACCATGCTCTCAAGTCGAACCCGAAGTCACATACTCGGGCCCGGTAAGCTGAGGTCCTGATGCCAAATCTCACACACCTGGAAATCGAACTCTGAAGCCCAGCGTGCAAGCCGAAGACACTTCCTATTAGCAGGTTGTGAGTCGTAACTACCCGCAAGCTCCCTTGTAGTTCCTTTTGGGGATTACCTTCTTCTAGGATCCTAAATAATAAACCTAAACCCTGAACCCTAAACCGCAAAAAGGAACTACAATGGAGCCTCTAGAGGTATAGGCTACGTCACAGCTGAGGGTGTGTGAACTGCTCCCGGCCTCCAGGCAGTGACAAAGCTTCTTCAAATACCTGACGGGCACAGGCAAGTGTCAGTACAGAAACAATGACAACAATAGCCCTAATTGTCCTTACTATGCTTCTTACTACTATTACAAAGACTATTGGTAAGCATCCTGCCTCTTAGTGTCTTGTCTTCGCATATTTGGCTCGAGTTCGAGTTTCACATCGACATGATTAGGAGCTCGGGGCTACGCGATAGGTACATCAAGACCTCTACCAGCACCGTTTGCTTGGGGAGCATCTGAGTGGGATGTCTATCATGATGCTGGCGTCGGTACTGGCCATAACAACGATGACGATATCCAGACGATGCCCATGGCGATGATGATGATGATGATGATGATGATGGTGGTGATGGTGATGATGGCGGGTGCTGGCTCCGCTGCTGCAACCAGTGTCCTTCAATAAGGATGGCCCTGGCGATTGCACGGCCACATGATCCTTACGATAGACATGTCTTCAGCGGGGTCACTCCTCCGAGTTGGGCACACGGCTCCACTCCACGCCACCGGGCTGATCGACCAGAAGCCTGCAGTGCAGTGATTCAGCTTGACTGCACGCCCATCCTCATCATCAGCAGATACGGCACCAGCCCGGCACCATCAACATCAACATCAAGACCAGCAGCCAATAAGTCCATTTATGTTTGTGAGCATCCCTAGTCTAGCATACCAGGCCAACTGCTCCTACTTACTCCGTGTGGGGTCTAGGTTGGCTCTGCAGAAGCTTTATCTGCCTACTCCGACACTTATACTACTTATGCCTTGGTCTGCGGGTTTGGGGGTCGGCCTTGGTCGGAGGGGTTAATGGGCTCGCAGATCGCAAGGCCTTGTGATCCCCCGATCCAGCAGCCAAAAGGCGAGAATAAACCGTCAAAATCCCTCACAAGCATCAGCTGATCTCATTAACCCCTTGCTTGCTGAATCTGAGGTCCTCAATTAGGCCTTACACCCTATACACGCTCTTACACAGAAACGGAGTTCCAAAGCGTGAGCTTTCCTGAACCAGCTTTGTGCTCCCCAACTCGACAAGCCATCAGGCCCAAAGAATCGCGTCTTCTGATGAACCCCTATGGTGAGGGTCTAGCGGGCTCAAAAACTGTTTGCCTTGAAAACCTGTACCTGCAAAGAAGCTCTCAAGCACTGGGAAAGCGCAGCTCTGCAAAAACGAAAACAACCCAACAACGCCTTAATTCTTACAGCCTTCAACTTCCCGGGGGAAACTCTTAACCGAGCAAATCTTCAGACCCTTGCAGAAGCCGTGGCACGGCTCAATCAGCGAGAGATCTTGTTTCGAGGAGGTGTCTGCGGCCAAGGCTTTCTCAAGCTCTTGCTTCAGCACCTGTCGAGAGGGCTTCTTGAGGGTTAGAGACTACACGGTTTGCTTTCCTATAAGGGTTTCAGACTTCGGCGCTGACAAACCGGTTTCATGCTGGAATTTAAGCCCTCAAATCCTTACGCCTGATGAGCCCGAATACTAAACCCTCAACGTCGAAAGCCAAGCAGCGGCCAGATGTTCCAGAAAGCTGCAGCCCTTTGTAAGGCGGCCAGTGCTCGGTCGCCGACAAAGGCGGCCACAGCTGTCGTCCTTTGGGTCTCTCAGGCTTTGAGGGTTCAGGGTCTTTTGTGCTTTGTCGCTTTGTTTACGCCTTTTCTCCATTTGGCAGGTGCAAGGTTTAGGGTTGGGGGTTTAGGGTTTAGGGTTTAGGGTTTGGTTTAGGGTTGGGGGTTTAGGGTTCGCTAAAAACGTGTTGAGCGTCGGCTAGCCGACCCTACCTTGACGGCACACGTGAAACTTACAAGGACGGCCAAGAGCATGATCGTGTAAATGCGGAACACCCGGAATCCAAGATCATGCGGCCACTGAGCTCGAGAGGCCGCCTGAACCCTAAACCCTTTACTTTTAAACCCTGAACCCTAAACTTCTCAACCCTAAACCCCTTTTTTTGAGCACGGACTTGGAGTGTATGCCGGCAGCGAAGCTCCAGGGCAGAGCCTTCCTCAGTCACCTTAGTAGGAGACCTCGGGGAACCCCTAAACCCTAAACCCTAAACCCTAAGTGTAACCGCCATGCTTAGGGCTTCGGGTTTAGTGCGAATGCCTATGGGGGTTTGAGGCCTTGGGTCCTGGGGACTATGGGCCTTATAAACCCTAAACCCTAAACCCTAAACCTACCCCGGGACTCTTATGGGGACTCATAGCTTAAGGGTTTGGGGCTGGAAGGCTCCGTAAAATCGAAGTTAAGTCTTTGGGGCTCTTTTGAGCAGGCTCCCAGGTTTACTTTGGGTTTACGCTCTCGCAACTCGGAACAAGCCAGACGAGGTCTTTGGTGCGTGTCGGTGCTACGGATAGCCATCTCGCTTCCCACGTGCAAGAGACAGCTAAACGCCAAGGTAGTGCCACGCAGGACGGGAAACGAGAAAGACCATCAAAGGATTGAAGTACAGTACAGTACCCGTGGAGCATCCTACATTGCAAAACGACAAAACGCAAGTTAAGGCCACAGAGGACGATAGGATGCCACACTCTGCTAGCTTTGAGCACGGGTGTCAACTACTCAGCGTCACTGAACTAGATGGTTCTACACGGTCCAGGTTCAGGAAAGTACTCGAAGGACCGGTTGGCTTGCTGTACACTACCAGGGGTCTGGGTGAAAACTACAGGTTTCAGGCTGCGGTGTCTCAGTACTCGCGGTAGGCATGCATGGGCTTAAAGGAAGCTCTCAGCGGCAAACTCAGCAGTCCAGCAGAACATCGACGTAGGCATAGTGCATGTCGGTATACTTCACGGTTCGTTCGTTTCGGTGGGTATTTCCGTGTTCACAGCGGGCACATCGGGCAGATCGGTGTAGGGAAGCATGTAGCTTGGTGGCCTAGGTATGCCTGTCCCTCGTCCGATAACCGCCAGTGTCGAGGCGCAGTTTGTGCCGTCTCCATGTAAGAAGAGGTGATGCCCACTGGATCAACAACAGACTGGCTTGTACCAGCTCTATGCAGAAAGCCAAGGGTCTGTCTGCCTCCATGAGGGGCGGTCGAGGCGCCCGGTAACCACCGTTGTCATGGCATCATCGTCTGCCAGCTCTATGCAGAGAGCAAATGTCAGGAGGCTTGGCGCCTCACCCCGGACCAACCACAGCGTTGCTTGTATCGACTCTATGCAGAGAGCACATGCGTAACAGTCATGGTGCCTTACCAACTCCATGCAGAGAGCCAGATCATAACCATCATGGTGCTGCACCAGGCAGAGGCGTAGGCAGGTCAGGGTATACCATCGTCCAGCAGTGAGGGCCAGGTGCCACCGCAGGATGAGCCATGGGCCGCGAGGACGAGGGTTAGTGGTTTTTAGGGTTAGCTAGTAGCGGGCAATGCTTCGGGCTGTTGTAGGTAAGGAAGTATGACGATGTACTGCATAACAGGGAGTCAGTGTCAGGCATCACCATCCATCATCACATGCAGCATGCAAACACCAATTCATCAATTCAAGCATGCAAAAACAGTCCAGCAAAAGGCAGTGCGAAGTGAAACAAGGAGTCGCAGCAAGGGGAGGGTTGGGAGTGGTGGGGCTTTGGACATACTGATGTATGGTGACCAGGCTGGCAGGCAGAACGACGGGGACTGAACGGACAGGGCAGAGAGGAAGGACTGACCGGGAGGCTGAACAATGAACGATCTGTTGAGATGCATATTGCACGCACCTGTTGTCCTGTCGTCATGGTCAGCGGTCCTGTGTAGGTTCGTCAAGGATTTCGATCACATCCTGTTCATCTGCCTTGCACGGACTAAGTGCCAGCGCCTGTCTTAAGGTGAGCTGGCGGAGGCGGGGAGGGTCATCTCCAGTGGTCCCATGTGTGGTTTCACAGAAAAGGGTTCGGGTGGGCATGTGAAAACCTAACTGTAACAGCTGTTCTTTAACCTCGGGTTCAAGTGTTACCGCGCCCAGGGTACTGAAGGCTACAAGGATTACCCTGTTGCTGGCTGATTCAGGGTTCAAAACATGTCCCGCATGAAGAACCTTCCTAGCATTGAAGATGAAGGGAGAGGTGATGTTGACTACTGTTCCGGCAAGGTCACGGTTCTGGTAGTTACGATACACTCTCCCTACATGATCCGCAATCCAGAGGCCTTCACCGTCCTTACATTCTGTAAGTGCAATGATCCAGGAGTTCAGGGGTCCGTTACGGATGTCTCGGTGAACCTTGCTTGCGCACCCCTTGCGAAGAACCCACGTGCTGTATGGGTGCCACGGAGAAACAGTACGGATAAACCGGTTGACTAGCATGGTCATGTATGGCATTTCGGTGCTAAAATTCAATACGTGTTCTCTTGACCTAGGGCTGGCCCCACTCACAATGTAGCGCGTATCCGAACCATTACGCTTCATGAAGTTGTGGGGGTACATGTTTAGCAGCCGTAGCACATCACGTTTGGTAGGGGCTTGAGGCCTATTCAACATTCTGACTGCCAAATATTCAATGTCCCGAAGCAGTGGGTCCTGAATAAACCCCCAATCCGGTAGTCTAGGTCCCAGGTCCGGTTGAGAGCCATCGGTGAGGATGGTGCAGTCCGTATCGACTGCAACCTGAGTGCTATGCGAGTCCTCCAGGTCAATGGGTAGACCCTCGGGGGTTCGGGTGGGTTTAGGGGTTATATCGGGAGGGGATGCATGGTCATCAACTGTCAGGTCTTGCACCTGAGTAACAGTCCTGAGTTCGCATGCAAAGGCCATGACACTGCTTCTGTGGTGCTACTCCCGCGGAACCTGCTGCTGTGATCCTCGCTGTCAGAAGTGAAAGTCGGGAGCTACACACGCTGCACCTGTCGCCATGATCGTTCCGGCTGCTTCACTCTCGGATGGGAAAGGTGGTGGCTTGAAACAGCACGATTTCCCAACATGGAAGGTGTAATCCAAAGTGCTCCCATACAATAGCTTCAGCAGTGCACTCAAAACGATGTGTCCACTCCCTCACTTGCCAATCTGCATAGGCTTCATCCTCCGGGTCTACTTCTAGCGCGGGGGCATTCGGGTCGACAGGGTCCAGGTCTACGTTTAATGCAAGGCAGAGTTCTGCAATGTAGTCGTCAAGAACTGGGCAGCGACGGACAAACCATATCCACGCTTCCCGCGACAAAAGAAAGTAACGACGCAGTTCAGTGACAATCAAGCTGACCACACATGCGGGAGGTGTGGTAAGGCAGTCGTGTACTTCATGGGGCTCCAGTGGAGAAATGGGCAACAGATGCGGGGGTTGCACTACATCTAGGCGGAAGACGGACCGCGGGGTCGAGC